ATGAATGAGTGGAAGCCCAAAATCTCTGTAAATGTTTATGAAAATTAATAAAATATAATTATAGAAAAAAAAAAATCCAAATGTGCTAAGAAGGCCATCCATGATAGACTATTACATGGAAAAGAGCTGTACAGAAATGTCTAACTCTAACGCGGCTGGGCGTGGAATGTGGGGAAAGCTGGGGAAGGGAAAACCCAAACTCTCCCATCAGCACAGTTGTGGGAAGTGGAGGGGAAGGACTACGAAAGGGGGTGGGGGAAGAAAAGAAGTGGGAATATTGAGATAGAAGGAAAAAAATGTGTAGGTACAGTAAGTATTTAAATATAAAATTATGTCATTATAAAAGTGCAAACCTGCGCTAATTGTAATCTACACTGTACAGATACGAAACTAGAGAATAACAGAAATGAAAATTGATTTCATAATGGGATGGAGTGATAAACAGTTTTTTAAATTGTTTAATAGATTTAAATTGTTTCAGTGCTTTGGGAATCCCCTGATGACACAAGCGGTTAGTGTTCGACTACTAGCCAAAAGGTTGGCAGTTCAAAGTCACCCAGAGACATCTGGGAAGGCCAGCCTTGTAGTCTGCTCCTAAAAGGTCACAGCTATTGAAAACCCTATGGGGCTCGTCCGCCCTGGCCACACAGATTGGCATGAGTCAGGACTGTTAACCAGCTACCCACCGAATGAGAATTCACTCAGCCAGTCATGATAGAGTTTGGAATTTTTTATTTTTTTTTTTAAAAAAGCACATTTATAAGCCAATTCTGAAAAATAAACGCGTGAGATTGGGAGGCTGGCACAGTAGGACCTCTGAAAGTTTGCCCTCTCATAAAAACAATGAAATGTGGCCAGGACACCAGACACTTCACCACCACCACCACCCCCAGGTCTCTGAAAGTTACCCAAAGGCTGGGAGCAATCCAGAGAGGGTTTATTCACGGATTGTCAATGCACTGAGCATTATGGAATTGTCACTTATTCTACTCTTGTGTCCCCCTCCCAACCCATGGCAGCTCTGACCACTGTGACGCTGTGAAATGCCCAGGACTGGCCCTGGAGGAGCAGGGTGGCACTAGAACACCCTCGACGGCAGAAAGAACACTGATTATTTGACCTGTCCAGTGTTTTATTTCCTAAAGCCCCACCCAATCAAAGGATTTGTCTTTTTTTAACCTCACTCAAATTAGCTCAGTGCTAAAGGCTTCTTCCCAGGAGCTGTGAGATGTTTTCCCAAATGCTGGAGGTGATAACAGTGGGACAAACGGTGGTGGAGGTGCCAGCTCATTGGCTCAGATCCTGACTCGGCTGAGAACAGAATGCTGGTGACACATCACCCTCCCAGTCCGCTGGGCGAGGCTGCTGCTGCTTCCTGTGTCATCCCAGCTGAGGGGCTTCTTTGTCCCCGGCCCTCTGCTTGTCCAGCGTGATGTCGTGCAGGGACTGGTCCTTCCTGACAGCATTCTCAAAGACTGTGAGGTCTTTGGACCCATGGCTCCCCATCTTTGCTCCCAGCCTGTGCAAGGAGTTTAAAACACTGAAGAATGAGATGCGCATTGTTACTGTTGGTTGCTATTGATGCAGACGTGGGTTTTCTCGGCGTGGCATCCACTTCCTGAACGGCAAGCCTCTGGGAACTTTGATAAACGGTGATGGTTGTGGAAGGGCTTCAGGCCTTCTGCTCATGGGGTCACTATGAGTTGCGCTCACTCGAAGGCAATCAACAACAGCACCCGTGAATAAAGACCCAACAAGTTGTGGGATGACATCAAGGATATCATATATGAAGAAAGAAAAAAGTCTTTAAAAACTTACAAAAAGGAAAGGTGGGTGAAGGGAAAGGCAATACATAAGAGGTTGATTAGACAGTTTTAATTACATTAATAGATGGCAATTGTTAGGTGTCTTTGATTCAACAATGACTCCCTTTTGTTATGTGCCACTGAGTCACTTGTGACTC